GGGCGGCCGCCGGCGGCCAATGGCGTCGAGCCGGGGGCGGGCCGCGCCGTTGCCAGGGGAGCCGGGCCCCGGCCGCGCCGCGTCCCCGGGCAACCGCGGGCGTCCCCGGAGAGCGGCCAGAGCAGGGAGCTGTCCCGGCCGCGCTGCTCGGAGCTGCCCGTCTGTCGTGCCTGTGCAGCCAGGAAACGGGCGGGAAAAGCTTTTTTTTTTACTTTTATGCCGTCTCGGTCAGAGCCGTTTCTCCTCCTCGCAGGCCTTGCTGCTTCGCGCTTTAGCTGTGCTCACAAGCCCTCTGGGTAATTCATCCCCCAGCGCTAAGGCCGGGGGTGAGGGCAGGGGCTGGAACGGCGCGGGGAGGGAGGACAGCAAGAACAGAAGGTCCCGAGCGAGCTGCCCACGTCCAAACGCTTTAATCGGGTGCGTTTGGGAGGGGGAGCGGCTCAAACGCGGCGTTGCTGCTTCGGTTTGGCGTGTCCTGAGATTAGCTGTGCCTAGAAACTGCCAGGATTGATTGCTGCTTCTGAGCGTCGCTTTACGTAAGAGCTACAAATATGGCGCGGGTCGCAGTTACTGCAGCGGTGGGGTGATCCTGCCCCGGGTGTGTTAACGCTGCTCAGACCGTTCCCATCGCTGGCACCCCAGCCTCCTGAACCTCAGGACGAGGGCAGCGGGATGCTCTGTGCATGGAGGGGCGTGGGGTTGAAAGCTGCTCTGACCTGCTCATCCCACTGTGCTGGCGGTGGGGCTGGTGGGGACGGTCCCAGCCTTGCTCGTGCCGTGGGTCCCGGCCACCCCGGTGCTTGCGCAGCTGCGGGGAGCCTGCTCAGCCTCCTGGCCGCGCTCCCCATGTGCTGTGTCAGGTGAATGCTGGCCAGATGTGGCCATGCCGAGCCACAGCTGGGGCTGTCTGGGGTGTGGAGATGAATTTATGGCTACCTAAAGCTGTGAATTGTAAGGGCTCCGCTGTGGCAGGACTAAGTCACGGCCTGCAGTCTTTGAGTTAAAGAGCAAAGCAGTGCCCCAGCGGTGGGACACATTAGGATCCTTTTACAGATGCTGGAATCTCCCCTGGGAAGGCGAGAGGCCAAGGCGAGCAGGGCGCAGGGAGGAGCTGTTTGGCCCTGGGCACTGCTGATTCAGCCCGGGGACTGCTCTCAAAAAGCTGTGCTGTGCTCTGGGAAAACTGCTTGCTTGCTTTCTCTTTCTTCCCTTTTTCATTTCACCTTATTTTCTGTCGATTTAAAGCATGCCTGGAGCAAGTGCTCATCTTCTTTGTAAAAGGTTGAAAGCCTGGGGGGTCTGGTAGTAACTTCTGCGCTGCTTCAGCTCTGCTGCCTCTTTCCACACCAGGAAAGGCCTTTGATTGGGTTTTGTTGCGTGCAGTGGAAGGGCGCTGTCAGCAGAGCAGAGCGCTCTGCCCCGTTGCACGTTTCCCTTTCCTGGGGGTGGCTCGGTCTGTGGGTGTTGTGACCAGGGCAACTTAGCAGGATCCATCCGTTGTGGCTGCCTTTGCGCCTGCCCGTCCCGTCTGCACCGCACGTGGCAGCCCCCCTGTTCCCTCCCCATCCCCAGGGCTCCCGCAGGGCTCTGCCATGCGCCGTGTGATGAGGAAGCTTTATTTCTGCGCGCAGTTGGTCACTGGGCTTTGGTGTTACTTCTCTTGCATGACCAGGTGCTGGGAGCCATGGCAGGAACAATGTTTTTCATTGGTAACCAGATGATTCTGGACGAAGTTTACGATGAGACGTACATTCCCAGCGAGCAAGGTAACTGATGCCTGTCTGCCCTGGAGCTGTAACAGGGGATCTGAGCGTGCGAGTCACTTCTAGGGGTCTTATAACAGGAACTGGGGAGAGTGTGGGTGGAGAGGGTCAAATAAATGGGATTTCATGGAAGGCAGAGCTGAAAAATTAGCTTTTTGGTGGCAAAAGTAAGTGCCGTTTTGAAGCCTGTCTCCCTGCTTTGCCAACCTGGTGGGACGCGCTCACTGACACGTGGGGCCGTGCTGGCAGCTTTGAGTAGCTTCGTATCAGGATCAGGATTTCCCAAAGCTTTCGCCGCAGAGGTTGGCTTTGTTGTGTAGTGCCTGGTGTAGATCATCTCCACAGATTCCTCTTCTGTGTTCCTAGACATCTGGGATTTTGCACGGGAGATCGGGATCGACCCTGAGAAGGAGCCGGAGCTGCTGTGGCTGGCCAGGGAGGGCATCCTGGCCCCATTGCCACCCGAGTGGAAGCCCTGGTGAGCGCTCAGGCAGTGGCTGGCCGCGGAGATCTGTGGCTTCTCCTGCCCGGCCCATCTCGGCGGCAGAGCAGGGGAAAGCCACAAGAGATGTACTTCCTGGGGGCAGGGGAGCTCGGGTCTTTCTGGGGTGGTGGGAGAAGGGGAAAGAGCATTGGGGAAGTTGGAGAAGGGTGTGAGCAATCTCTAGGAGAGCTGCTGCCCCGCACTGAGGTGTCTCTGGGCTCTTGGGGGTGTCACGCTCCACTGAGCTTAAGGTGGTGACGTGACCCAGTATGGCGCGTGCAGCTGTGTGCCTGTGCTCTGTCACCTTGTCCCCCTCTTTTTGCCACGCAGCCAGGATATCACTGGAAACAGCTATTACTTCAACTTCACTAACGGCCAGTCCATGTGGGACCACCCCGTCGATAATCACTACAAAGAGCTCGTCGTTCAGGAGCGAGAGAAACTGCTGGCACAGGGCAGCTTGAAAAAGAAAGAGAAGAAGAAGAAGAAAGAAAAGAAAGAGAAGAAAGATAAGAAGGAGAAGCAGTCCCTGAAGCAACCCGCTGTGAGTAGATTGTGCTTGTGGCCCTTCTGGGGAGGGCTGGGTGGGGGATGAACTAGAGGGTGATCCTGCCCTTCACTGGAAATAATGTTGCAGGTTTTCTTGTCTTTGTCCATAAGTAATTGCCTTGATTTAATAAGGATTTACCCAATCTCCTGCTTTGAATGAAAAACTGGCACCAAAAGGTCACTGTGTGTGATGTTAATGAATTGCTGTGCTCTGTTGGTACCCAGCTGTGGCTCCACTGAGTCACTAGCTCAGGTTTCTAATTATCAGCATGTGGCACTGCTCAGTTAGCTGCTAAGAATTAGGATTATAAATATCAGATAAACTGCAGTTTATCCTGAAAGTTCTGATGAGCCCAATGGAAGCGAGTTTGTCTTTGCTGAAGGGCAGCTGACATCCTCTGCTCCCCACACCTCATTAATGGCCGTCCGCAGGAGATAACGAGTTAAGCGCGGGTGTGGGGTGGATTGTGCTACCACTGCTGTGGCAGGGACTTGGTGGAAGAAGGGTCCGTGCTCCCCGTCGTGCAGCGTGCAAGTGAATTTGCTCTGATCTCAGTCCCAAATCTTGGACGGACACAGAGCAGAGGGGCTGGGTGTTCCGAACCATCACGTGCTCTGCGGCTGCCGAGAGCAACCTCATTACCCTGCGCTGGTGGTGGGTTAGGATCAGCGGTGGTGGGTTTAGGATCAGCGGTGGTGGGTTTAGGATCAGCGGTGGTGGGGTTAGAATCAGTGGTGTTGGCTTAAGGATCAGCGGTGTTGGCTTAAGGATCAGCGCTGGTGGGTTTAGAATCAGCGCTGGTGGGTTTAGGATCAGCGGTGGTGGCTTAAGGGTCAGCGGTGGTGGCTTAAGGGTCAGCGCTGGTGGCTTTAGGATCAGCGCTGGTGGGGTTAGGATCAGCAGCCAGCGTTCTCACAAGACAGCGCTTCCTGCCATTCACAAAGGAGGTGCATGAGCAGCGCGACCCTCCTCAGTCTCCAGCCCTCAGGCACTCTGCTTGCTCCCGTCCAGGTGCTCCCCAGGAACCTCGCGCCTCTGCGGGGCCTCGCAGGGATTCCGGCCGCCCTCCACAGACCCCTGAGCTTGGACGCACCCAGCTCGGCGGACTCCAGCCTCGTGGCCAAAGGAGGGACACAGGTAAGGCTCCGTCTGCTCTGGGACCGTGCCATACAAAAGTCACATCCGTGGTGGTGCTGAGAAGCTTAAATGACAGGATTTGTGATCTCTCGTCAGCTTAGAAAGGCTTTTGTCTCTTAAAAAACCACTTCCCTACTCTATCTCTTACTCTTACTCTGTCTCTTATTAATCAGTAATATTTTCACTCAACTTTGAGACTAAAAGTTGAAAAGAACAATTTTCTGGATGAATGTAAGGTTTACAGTCACATTGAATGATTATTTATAGAATGTGACCTTTGGGTCAACAAAACAAAGTCTCAAGTGGTACCAAACTGACCTTTGAAAGGAAAACAAAACAGTGTA